ATTTCTACAATTACAAAGGGTACGAATATTTATGAAACTGATTGTGTGTAAATATATATATATATATATATATTAGGCCCACCAGAAAGGCCTGTCCGTTCCAGCTACAAGTTCCAACAAGTATGCCAATATTCATTAAAAATGGCATATATAAATTGCAATCACACATGGCAAGAAGTCACAAATAATGATGGAAATTATATCACTCGATAAAGATTATTCACGGAATGACAAATTTATTATTTTGTTTTATTCTAAAGACGAACAGAACTTTCCTAAGTAACTCCAAAATAGGAATTTATTTTATTCTGCAAATATTATAACATGAACTTTACTTTCGATACTTTTTCATATTCTTGCATATTGTTTGCATTTTCTAGTTTCTTGCACATTCAAATTTCCTATAAATACGTAAATGCGTAAAATGCAGTCCAATAACGAGAAATTTGTTTGGAAACATCAAACCTATCATTTAATACTTATGAGGCTATAGATCCAATCTAGAATCCATTGGACTACCTATAGCCGACGGGTTTGCGTGGTAAAACCTGCCGATCCGAATTACAATGGTCAGTTAATCTAACCACAATCTACGATAATCTTAATCTCCATCAGAAGACAACAATCCTCCTCGTAAATCTATACTAACAAGTTTATCTACCGCGACTGCGACGCGCCTGCACGACAGGGCTAATAATATATGCAATGATTTCGCAGATTATACGCGAACAAAACAAGTCGGTGTTATTCGTGAATCATTGTTCTCTGTTTTGTATATCTGAATATGGAAAGATATAACATAAATTGCGTTATGATTGGGATTGATACATCGCTATCGACCCATTTCACACCAAGAAATCTATCAAAGTTGCATGGCTTTTCTTTATAAATAAACGATAAATCTACCTCAGGAACGCAGAGAGTTAACCGTTTGACTGCTAAGCAATTCTTGCAAGAACGCACGAAAACTGCGGGACATATTTTGACTTGATGTCAAAGACACACCGAAACTCGCAGCGCGAAAGCGTTGCGTCGCGGTTTTCGTGACAAATGAACGCAGCTCTTTTGCGCCGCGTACCAGTCGAACGGTTAATTTCTACGCCTACTATATTGAAATTGTAAACACGAATGCAGATCTGGTTTCATCCGGATGCAACAATTACTCGAGTTATCGATTCTATAAGCCCGGGAGAAGGATATCGACGTAATTGTTGACCCGTTCGCGAATTCCGCGTCTCGTCTAGACCAGCAGAACAAACAATAACGAGACGTCCGAAATCGAGCCGCTCTTTGATTGATATTTTACTAATCCCTTTCGAAAGAACTCTTAATCTTGGATTTCTTTGAAGTCTGGGCCTTATCGATGCACCGTGATCGTGTACCACGATTATTCCGCGAGTCCTATTTTCGTATAAATACACCAGAAGCATCGACGAAACGACAGAACAACCCACGAAGCCGAAGCAAGATGATCCAACAACTGTGCCTTTTATCACTGGTGGCGGTCGCCATAGGTAACAATTCCATCTTAATGATTATTTTCTGAGCAATTTCAACTCTATCGATTGCCAGAACGAATCCACTTTCTTACACTTTCGACACGAACAGTGATTGTAGTATGTATTCGTACATCAATTTCTCAAAAACTTTTGTGCGAAATTGTAGTTTCTTAAGGTCTTTTTTTATAATCAATGATATTTTACATATTCTCGGAAATCTCTAGAATAGATATAGTCTAAACAGCAAGTACTAGTTTGTATAATTTGCGTAGTTCACAACAAAAAATATGAAAAATCGGCAGAAATATAGAGGCAATAAGTATTCGTACTGTTCTTATTGACGAACTGTTAACAGTTGAGTTTGTTACATAAACACATCAGTTTACTGCTTCGTACGAATTAGAAAACATCAAATTTCCAGTAAAAAAGTCTTGAAAAAATGCTCTAATAGAGAAATGGAAAAAGATCTCATCCCGAATAACATCGACATTTATGATGGTTAATTTAATCCCCAGAAGAGTTGGAGGAATTATAAAATCAAAAGGAAATCCCACAAAGTATTAATTATTTATAAATTAATTTCATTTTCTTTACAAACTTTTAACAATTTAACAATTGAACGAATACTTATTGTTTTTTCGTGTTAATTTCTCAACTTATATAAATAAATAATTCTTTTTGTACTGCCTGTATTCTAAACATTTCCAAGGATATGTAGAATATTATTGTTTATAAAAAGTAAGTTAATCAATTACAATTTTACACAGTTTTTTTGTGGAAATTGATCGGTGTACGAATACTTGTATGTATATCTTTTTTTTCTACGAATCGTTCCGCTGATAGTTTCTATCTGCAATTCTAACCGTTCGCGGTCGATTCAGCGGTGCCGTGCGTTGCAACGAGCCGCCGTTTTTAGGCGTCGCTTTCAACCTACGATTGCTACTTCGGATGGTAGCTTTTCGCGAACGTTTATTACAATTGCCGCTCGTCCCTCTAATTACCGGATTCAAATATTCCCGCTAGAGTCTAGCGGCTAGACCCTCAAGGGTAGAGAAACGTTGGACCGAGTTCAAACTCCGTTCTGTCTGGGAGCTACCGACTGTAAAAAGCTGGCAACGTTGTCACAGAACTACGTAATACGTTTAAACGTGTCAAATTGTCGAACTTTTGAAAGTCGAAACGGGCAAACATTCCGAGCCTGAACGAAAACGTTAACGTAACTTTCTCGTTGATTATCCAGTAAACGTTGTCACAATCCTGATGAAAATAATCGTATCTCAAAGATCCTCGTATAAGAAATCGAACGATTTTCTAGCAAACATTTTTTTTTTCCTTGCATATTTAATTATTTAAACGCCGCATCAAGCGACGTTATTAGCGACTGTCTTTTACGTGGATATCTTTATCGTTAGATGTTGATCCAAATACGTGCATCTTTAACCTCTTCATGAACGGTTTTTCTTCACACTTTCTACATATCCAGCCAAAACCGTAACATTTGTACTCTCCATGTTCGGTGAAATTTTGTTCTTTTCGTTATTGACGTCAAGTAGCTAGATTATTTTGTACAAGTTTGCCTCTGTGCTCCATATGCTTCCTTTAAACTAGCGTTTATACTTTGTGTTATACGCGGAGTGCTTCCATATTTTTACAGGTTAACATTACGCGTTCTATTATCAGAATTTCGTAGTTAGGAACAAGTGGTATTCTCAAATAGGTGTTTGTATCTCGATCTAACTCGTAACCTTTCTATTCCTTAGCGAACCCCCTGAAGCACTCCCTTCTGAACCCGCTGACGCCCAGCGGCCAGATAATAGGCGGCCAGGCGATCAGTATCGAGAAGGTCCCGCACCAGGTCTCGCTCCAGAGCTCCGGCTTCGGCTTCTGCGGAGGTAGCATCATCTCCGACCAATGGGTCGTCACCGCTGCCCACTGCATGGTCTACCCAGCCGATTGGATCACGGTGCGCGCTGGCACGGCCACGAAATCCGCCGGCGGAAGCGTACACAAAGTCGCGGAGGTAATCGTCCACGAGCGTTACACGACCAACTGGTACGGCGTGCCAGAGAACGACGTGGCCGTCCTCAAAGTCAGCACGCCGTTCAAGCTGGACAAGACCCGTCAGCCCATTAAGATTTTCAAGCAAAACGAGGAGTCGATCGCCGGAATCAGCGCATCCGTGACTGGATGGGGAGCGACCAGAGAGGGCGGCAGCACCACGGACATCCTCCAGGCCGTCGACGTTCCCATCGTCTCCAAGAAGGCTTGCAACGACGCGTACAAATCGTACGGAGGCGTTCCTCAAGGACAAATCTGCGCCGCTGTTCCCGAAGGAGGAAAGGACGCCTGCCAAGGAGACTCCGGTGGCCCTCTGACCATCGGCGGTCGTCTCGCCGGTCTCGTGTCCTGGGGCTACGGCTGCGCCAGGAAGAATTACCCCGGAGTTCACACCGAGGTCGCTGCTTTCAGCAACTGGATAGTCTCCAAGACAGGAGTCAAGGTATAAACCGGATAATGGATGACCGGTGCAATGGATTCTTTTACGACGACTCGCTTTGTATTTTTAATCACTTTATAAATTTAATAAGCGGCCAGCGGTGACTGGGACCGGGTTCAATAAAAGCAGCATCCAATGTATTACTTGAATTTATTCTGAACCCTCTACCATAGCGATCCTTGACATCTTAACATTTTTATAGGGCAGAACTTTCTGGGCATTTCTTTTTTCACTTTCTTCTTGTCACAATCAATTTGCTTTATCTCGGGCTCGCGCGACTTCAATGTAAAATATTCAATATAGTCTTTTATTTATGTTATTGCAGAAAAATGCAGTTTTGATGAAAAATAGGGTATACCATTTTTGTAACTATAACAGATACAATTTTACAACTTTTTTGTGATTTTTAATTTCATATTTTCTGTATATTCTTAAACAAATCCCAAAACTATATTTCTTCATATATATATATATATATATATATATATATATATCGTTATCTAACCAGTAAATCGTCACAAAATATTTACATATCTTTATTTTATATTTTTCGAGTTGCGAAAAGAATCACAATCCCGAAAGTTTCTTTCGTTTTATTAATAATTAATACATACACAATATTTTATGTTTAATGTTAAATTACTGAATTGTGTACGATTCATTTCGCTTCGTTACCGTTACAGCATCAATGCCTAAGAAATTAGATTGTCTATTTATATAAACACTGCCACGCAAAATAATTGAATGCAACTCGCGAAAGAAACTTTTGGGATAACCTGATATATGGGGTCGTGAATGAAAAAAGTTTAAGAAGTCCTGACTTGTACCATGAACTTAAAAGTACAAAATTTCCGCCCCTTCCTTGACTAGAGCTCTGGTACCAGTGCTCTATAAAGGGTTGCAGGTGAAACTAAAGGTTCAAAGAAAGAGCGAATGTCTCCTTTACACCATCTTCGAAAACTACCATCGGATTGTCCTTTGAGAGCTACCATTAAAACCGCGATGTTCCCAAAGAAAGGCGACTGCAGAGTTACATGCACCTAACCGTGACATAGAAATTTAACGTTTCTTTTCATATCTCGAAACGTCCTCGCGATACGGCTCGCTTCAGTTCCATAAATCACCCTGTATATCACGCGCACCACACGGTTAACTTAAAAGGCTCATTCGCCGCCCGTTTCGCAAATATCGCGTTAGCGTTCCGAAACGGACGAGTCCACGGATCCGTTTAAGATCAAAATTCATTCCTCTCGCAGTCGATTCAATCTCGCCTAACGCGTTAACCCGATTCTCCACGCGGTCCGAGTCGAGAGCCACAGCGAAGCGCCGACATTCGTTAAAAAATTACACGGAAACGCGTCGCTTCACGGGAGAATTCGGAGAAAAATATCCTTCGACGGAACACGGAAGCGTTGGCCGAGTTCAGCGACAATGTCTCGGGAAAGCTCTACAACATGTCAATGGGGAGACGGGAGCTTGCGCGAGAGGACTCGAAAAGCACCCCGAGGCCACGCAATTAGCTGTTGATTTACATTTCCCCGTCGAAGAGCCCTGCCAAAATAACGTCCGCCATCTGCCAAATAACAAACAGCGGCAGAATCGCGATTTATTACTTTTTACCTTCAAAGTTTCGACCCGAGTATTTTCGGAACGCATTGTTGCGTGATAAGAGAACTCGAAATGGTATCATTGTTACGGTAACTCTCGGTGGCTTTGTCTCTATGAAGACTGACGTTGGAACTTGGATACAGGGTGGTTACAAATAAGATATGCGAGGTTGATATCGAGTTTTATGATTGATACTGAGTGTAAGATACTTCTGAATGTATGATACCTCAATAGGTAAGCAGAACTGCATTACGAGAATATATGCGACGGCTAACAACCCTAATACGTCTGTTAATCGTTTTCATGAGTCAACTTTAGCATTCAAAAATTCAGTTGTAGCCATTTTACGTGATTACCCGAACATGGTACGTAATGATATGCTGTGCTTGTCTCCATTTTTCTGTTTGTTTTGTTGTTATTGTATTTGATATCAAGGGTATACTGCCCGCAAATAAAGTATTATTATATTGCACCTAGCTTCTTCGCGAGTAGAATGGCACACTGATATCGACACACAGAATGATATATTCGGAAGAAGCTAGCTGCGATGCGATGGCCCTCTTCTGTTACGATTCGATTGTGGATTGTATGCAATTGGATGCATTTATGGCCAATAAAAGTATATAAAATATCAACGATAATATACACGTTACACCGTTTAGAAGAGAGGACAAACTTTTATCGAAGCATAAATTCTTTTTCTGTGTCTGTGAAAATATGAATTCGATTAAACATCGGCAGTCTAATTTCTTCGGACTCTTTTTAACACGTCGACTGCCAGACAAATATTCTCGAAAATTTCTGCTAGGATTCAATGTTATTCAGATTATTGGAGACTATATAATGAAACATCCGTCGTGGTATTTAGTTTTGTAACTTCATCAAAATACACGAATTTCATTTAAATTCATTTCCTGCGAAGCTTAACTTTCAGAATTAATGTTTTTAGTTCTTCGGTGAAAAGCACTGTCGGCCACATATGGGTGACGTGGCGATCAACGTGTTAAATCTACCGAGAATCGTATTCTACGTTTATAACGAAAAGCCTGAATCCGACCAAGGAACCCAAGAAGAACCAAAAGCGACGCCGAGCGGTTTCGAAAAGCCAGGACAATCGTTCGGGAGAAAACGAGCTCCAGTTTTATGTAGGTTAAAGACGCTGCGCGAGCTTTACGGCGATGCTTTTGCCCCGACCGAAGGGATACTTGCCAAAGATGATTTTCCCACATCGCATTATTCATTCTACGTATAGTGACACCGCGATGAATACGCCGTTAAGTAAATCGTTGATCTCTATTGCACGGTGAGCGCAGCGTCGGGTTTGTTTTAAATTGAAATGCTAAACACGCCCAGCTCCTGAAGGATAGCGTTATCCGTGTGAATTTCTGCGTTGGGGACGGTGTAAGATCGAGATGACGCGGGATCAAAGTGCGGACCGAGTTTTACTGACGAGGGTGTTTATAAAGGAGGTCGTATAATTTCGCTGTGACACATAATGTTCTCTTGCATTTCTTTCTGCTTTACTTAATCGCGTTACATTGCATTTGTATTTGCTCAGATGCCTCGTTTCTGTTATAAAATTAATTTAATGGCTTGTTAGCGACGCAATCTGCGAGGACGATTGGTCACTCGCCTCGAAGTCAATCCAACGAATAACTCTTTGCTAAGCATTGCCGCCGGTTTGGAAACATTCAGAACGAAATATGAGAGAGCGCGTCGTCACATGCAACTTCCACGTAATGACAACATTCTCTTAGGCCGATCGCACACGGTGCAACCGAACCAGTTTCAAACCACTTTGAAACTCGTAGTTGCATGTGACCGTGGATCTAGGTAAAACAAAGATACGCAAACGGTTTGCAACGCTAATTTCAAATCGATTGTGCGCACGGCCTTACACTTCGTAATTCTCTCGTTAGAGAATCAAAAATCTCTCGTTCTTATCTGATACGAAAACTATGATTTGTTAGGGACTCACTGGGCCTTCATCACAGCTAGGGTACCTAGGAATCGCTAAACCCGTGCTGCGGCTCCGATCGAACAAAGCCACAGCCCCTGAGGGCGTATCAAAGCGCAAACTATAAAGAAAAGTAACGTATATTGTTTGGGTCAATGGAATAACGTTCCCTTTCATCGCGATTGGCGTTCGATTGGCTTTTGTCGAAGAGGTGGGAAAGGTCGTCGGGCGCGTTTAGGTGTAAGCACCATACTTTTTTGTATCAATTGTCAAAGGAGAGACCGAGAGCGGTGCCAGGAGCGTCGAGGTCCATCGAATTCGCGACTCGCTGATCGCACCAGCCGGTGTGTCTCAATGCGGCCAAGTGCATCGCTCGATGTCGCACGGGACCGTTCTTTGCATGCATCGGCGCATATTGGACCTCGGCCAACAAGGACGGAACTACCCGAATGCTATTCCGAAGGTATGTAGCCGCTCCCCATCGGAAATCGGGAAAAGGCTGGATAAGGGGGTCGAATCCTAGCCCTAAACCAAATTCGACTCGGGATGGATCGTTCGAGGGCTTATGAAAAATCCAATACGAGGTTGGTTCCAACGTCTGCGTCGCAGCTAATTAAACCAGGATCAAAACAAAAGTTGTCGACACCGTAACGCCCCTATCATCTTATTTATTTATTTTTGTTGGATTTTCTCTTCGCTAAAAGAGAAAGTTTTCGTTAAAAAAACCATCTCTGCGCGTTCGGGTTTCTTTTCCTAGACACAAGTCAAGAGGGTGCAGCTGCGTCCCATCTTGGCTTGTTTAGAGAAAATATGGGACCGATAGGGTCTATAGTTCACTAACGAAATTCTTCGTTACTGATCTCACTTTCTTTCATTCGAGCTGCTTCTAGCGAACAGAACAGACGTGCTCTTCCGTGTGTTTCGAATAAAGTTTTCAAAGTCAAGTTAAATAAAAGTCTAGCTCATGTATTCCATCGTCTATATTCCAATCATTTTATTTGCGGAAACCGAAGCCCTCTCGCAGGGACAGGGAGAAAACAAGAGTAACGTAGCACAGAAAGATTTTCCAAAAGAAGTCAAAGAAGCGTTTGGAGAAGAAAGTATCGTCAATCAAAATTATTTTAAATAATTGTTCGTTGTCCGTCAGTGGTTATCGCGTATTCCAGGGATCGATCGAGCAAAGTTCGACGAACGAGAGAAAGGAGACGACACACAAACAACCACGCGTACCAGCAAGGACCCAGTCGATAAATTATTTTTAGAATGTCCGGTTGGCCAGCGTGGAACTAACGATCGAACCTAGCAAACGAGGACGATCCGATCGGGGTCAATCGCGATTGCCCTGCGAGGAAGCGATCCATTTACCTTGAACGTCGGGTCCTTCGGCCCCTTGGTCGCGAAGGACGCGAACTGCCGACCAAAGGACTCTCACCATTGCCTCGTACCACCCCTTTCGATATCGACGAGCGCTTCTCCACATTCGCGGTTCAATATATACACTACGCGAGTTGCATTCATTTCAATGAGCTGTGTTCGAATGAAACGTTCTCGATTCCCATTAAAAAATTCCGATCACTCGTAAAGCCCTTTTCAGGAATATATTGCGTTTGGATTCGTTTGAATTGGTGACCAATCATTTCGAACGTCTGAGGCTACATTTTTCTGCTATCTACTTTTATTATAATATACAGGGTGTCCCAAAAATGTTGGAGGTCCTTGAAAAGGGTGGTTCAGGGGGTGATTTGAAACAACTTTTTCCTTAGCGAAATTGTTGTCCGAGGCTTCG